AATCTCTTCAATGACCAGTGCTCGAACAGCTCCTGCTCGTATAGTTTCTCCTGCTCCTCCCAACCACTGGTTAGGGTTTGGTCCTCCGCCTTTCCTCCGCCAAGGTTCTCCGCCCTACCTCCGCCATGGTCCTCCGCCATCGTTCTGGTAGTAGGCGGCGTCCCGGTAGAAGGTCTTGGCAAACATGTAGTTTCCCCAGTTGCATGGCTATCTTCCCATCCCCAATCCAGCGAGTCCAAACAGTTCGACTCCAGCGGCTCAGAATCAAAGGGCTCAGAATCAAAAGCCAAGGAGGTCATCCCCCCTCCAACCTGCAGCGCAGTCAACGCAGGTTGGTACAAAGCCCCGACCACCCCCTCCAAAGGATCCTCCTGCGCAGGTGGTTGTTTTCCATGAAGGCGACGTCGAACTGGTTGAAGGGCTTCTGCATCAGCTAATTGTAGTTCATGGTGGGCATGATCAGCACCTTCAGCTTGAACCCAGGCTGACCTCACGTGTTGAACAAGGCCTCGACGGTCTCTTGCCAGCCAGCCGGTTGGACATAAAGGGACTTGGGCCCAGAATTTGCATGCTGCGAAAGGGGTTACTCAATTGACCTGCACGGTGCCAGCGTTTCGTCTTGACAGACATCGTTGCAGCGAATCTCACCATTGGGCGGGTCACTACGCCCAGACGATGTAGTTGAGCTCGAAGACGATGTTCTGCAGCATGTCTCAGTGCACATACCCAGAACCCGTGAGGTAGCCCACTTTCATGTAGAAGCAATCTGGTGCGCTGCTTGATTTGGTTGACTTCAGATTCAACGCGGCCGTTGCTTTTTGCATCATCTCCTCCTGTCATGGTCTGTAGGAGGCTTCGAGTTTGACACCAGCGCTGCACAATGATTTCTCACGATCGCTATGGAGGCGGAAAATCTGTACCCCCAGCGACTTGAACTTTGCATACACCTTCGACAAGGCCCGGACGATGGAGCCAACTAACCTCAGGGGTGCCTTGTGATGGTCTCTTCCTTGGCTTGGGTGTCGACCTTCCTGGAATGAAATGAATGGGTTCCGTATTCCACGTCCCCTCGGGGTGAACGGGTTATCTGTTCTCCTTGGGGGAAATGAATGGTTTCGGTCTCCACGTCATTCCTATGGTTGGTTTAATCCTCTTGTCTTGGTTGGGTCTGCGTTCACTTGGTATGGAAAGAGGAGCGCCCCGGCTGCGCCAGGATGGCCCTCGGGATGCACATTCCCCGAGGTTGAGCTTCCTGGAGGCCAAAGCTCTCAAGCGGAAAGCAGCACCTTTGGGTGCGAACTAAGCTTTGTTTGTCGCAACTCGCAACAGAAGCTAGTTGACCCAATCTGGCACATGCAGGATTGCAACTGCTTTACTGTTGTTGTCAGCCCCTGCTTTGAGCAAGCCGAGCATCTGAAAACCTTAAGATTCTTTTTTTTTGGCGAAAAATAATTCGATTAGGAAAATATAATTCGATTAAGAAAATATAATTCGATTAGGACAATATAATTCGACTAGGAAAATAAAATTCGATTAGGACAAAAAAAATATTTAAAAATGCTATGGTTTTACTTAAAAATATTTTTAATTAAAACCCATAAAACTATATGAACTTATATAATTTTAATTCATTTTTAATTGAAAATCGAAAACTATAAAACATTTTTCCTTTATTAAAAAAGACTACCAAGAAAATTCAGGTTAAGGGCGGATACGAGCACCGGTGAATTAGGGGGTTATAAAGGTGTAAGAAAATATTTTTAATAATTGGATGGAAACGATGGAAAGGTTGCCTATAACGCCCCCACAGGTGAACAACCTGTGTTGGCGAACCCTAAATCCTAAACCCTAAATCCCCTAAAACCCTAAGCATGCATTGATAAAACCCTAACTAAATGCCCGCGCCGACAAAATCCTAACTAAATGCACGCGCCGACAAAACCCTAACTAAATGTACGCGCCGACAAAACCCTAATTAAATGCACGCGCCGACAAAATCCTAATTAAATGCATGCCGACAAAACCCCAATTAAATGCACGCGCCGACAAAACCCTAATTAAATAAACGCACCGACAAACCCCTAATTAAATGCATGCGCCGACAAAACCATAATCAAATTTATATATCGATAAAATCCTATATAAATGCATACCCCGACAAACCCTAAGCAAATGAATTCCCCGATAAGATCTGAATCAAATGCATAGATCGATAAAACCCTCATCAAATATATGCATCAAAAAACCCAAATCAAATATATGCACCATCAAAATCCTAATCAAATACATATTGAAAATCCGAAGAAAATACATAATCCTAATCGAATATATATATATATCCATATCCAAAACAAATCTCCAAAATCATCTATATAAGACAATCAATCCCCATCATCAACATCATCAACCTCCGTGCCCACCACCACCAAGACCACAACACAAACCAAACAAAACCACGACCAAACAAAATCAAGACCAAGACCAAGACCAACACCACCACCATCAAGACCAAGACCACCACCACCAAGACCAAGACCACCACCACCAAGACCAAGACCACCAAGACCAAGAGACCAAGAGACCAAGAGATCAAGAGACCAAGAGATCAAGAAACCAAGAGACCAAAGAGACCAAGAGACCAAGAGACCAAGAGACCAGGACCACCACCACCACCACCACAACCACCACCACCAAGACCACCACCACCACAACAACAAACACACCACATCACAACAGAAACCAGCAAGACACAACACAAGCAAAAGCGCAGCCACAAAAAGCCAACCGCCATGGATGAGAATATTAGCCTGGCTACAGAGAGTGGTGGAAAGGCTACCCCGAAAAGAAAGAACAAGCCCACTCGACCTGGGACTTAATCACCTTCACCACTTTGACGAATACGGACGGCCATGGTGGGCACTCTCGATCCTGGGCGTGGCTGGCAACACTTTCAGCGAGGGCGCTCAGGCCATGAAAGTGCATCGACAAAGGCGCTGCCAGGAAGGAGGTCCATATAAGCCTCCACGGATCATGCGGCTTCTTACCCAGCGACCAACTGCGAGTTCCTTCCCGATTCATCCCGCCTGAGACACCCAGTGTGCGCGAAGCTCACGGGGCTACCAGTGCCTTTGGTGCTGGGGCTCTAGCAGGATAAAACGTTAATGCAGAATAGCCAACCGACCACTTGCAACCTTGCCCATACTCTCATCCATGAGCTAACGACACAAGGAACAAAAGCAAAACATCAATCATTGATCATCGAATATGGATTCGTATGTTTATATAATTCACTAAAACGTATTAAAATTATCAATAATATTACATCTACATGGTCTATAATTTCAATTATTTAATGCATCAATAAATAGATACAGGACTCTATATTTTTATATCTTTAGTTCCTTAATCTAAAACGGTTGATTGAGAAGATAAGCCGGGAAGTTTTGAACAAAGGACGGGCCGATCGAGTTGGAAAATGAAATGGGGGAAAAGGGCAATGGAATTTGCAAGGATAGAACGTAAGAATGACATAATCTTGGGTTAAGACTGGATCGACCAAATCAATCAATAGCGGCAGAACGAATTGCACTATATCAACCAACACAAGCGCAACGCAACGATGGTGTGGATAGAGTTCGTTTTTGTTGAGGTGCTGTGGCATTGCTTGTTGCTTGTTGACCTGATTTACTTTTACCTTGTCTCCACATATATGGTTAGCTTTGCGTGTCTTGATTGTGTCTTGGTTGGCGAAACCCTAAACCCTATGATGATGAGGATCGTGATGCAGAGCTGTTCAACAGGCTTTGCAACAGGGAGAATCGAACTACTTGTGCATTTGTTCGATGATCGTAAAATGTAAATTAATTTCAATTAAACGTAGCGTAGCGCGACACGGACTTGAAGGCTTAAAGGAACTTGTTTGGCATGCAAGCAGCTCAACAACATTTTGCATGAAAGTATATTTCAATAATATTAACACAAAGAGGATTATAATGCAAAAATAATTGAAAGACATCTGTTTCAATGAGCCATGGGAAGAAAGGAATTTATCAATTGAAAAATTTTCAAGATACAGAAAAATAGAACCAACAATTAAAGAAATTAGCATAACGATACATTCAAAAATTTTTACGAAGAAAATTCATTTCAAGAAATTAGAGATTAAGATAATTAACATGTAGAGATATTCAATATATTTGGGATAAAAACATAACACAGAGAAGATTATAATGCTAAATTTTAAAAAATATTTAGAGACTAAATAACAAACGTAAGAATTTCAAGCAAATTAATAATAACAACAAATCTTCAAATCTTAAAAACATCATTTTACCCTTTTCCAATAGAAAAAATTAATAACAATAAACATATCACCTCTACATTACAAAACTTTTCCTATCAAAACCATTTCTACCCAACATATATTATAAATCTAATTTTAATTCCAACTCTTTCAAAGGTTCTTTTTCAAAATCTTCTTTAGTACATCTTGCAAATTCTATTTTCTCAATTCTTTTCAATTTCTAATCCTTCTTTCTTCAAATTTCCTTCCCAAATCTATTCTTCAAAACAAAACACATGTTTTCAAATCCTAATTCCAAAAATCTTATTTCGCACATCTACCTTTCTCAACGAATGGTCTTCGAAGATCCGTAAGAATTTTAATTCTAAGCACATTCTATTATAAGCATTAAATCGTGTTTTTAACATTTCGATAATCTAACTCAAATCCTATTAATTCTATTAAAATTGTACTATTGCCACGATACAACGAACAAAAATAATCATCAACCATTCATCAATATGCTTATTAAGATATCACTATAATTCAAACAACATACAATAAATAGAACGTATTATAACCTATAATTTTAGCTTTTGTTAGCCATATACACATACACAAACATTTTCAATTGTTTGATTGTAGATTTCAAATTTCAACTCCGGCTGCATATGCGCTAGTTACCTCCGAACGGTTGAATCACGTTTCGCACCTTTTTCACTCGTGGGCTGGGTGTGTCAGCGAGCAATGAGCGCTTTCAGTTCTTGAAACTCTGACTGGACTGTGTCCAACAGCCTGTGGAAGACAGAAGTGAAGGCGGGAGGGAGCTGCACGGAGGTCGGCCCGGGGAGAGGTAGGATGAACTAGTGGAAGGGTAAATTCAAAAGTCTGGGAACTGGACTCCTACCCCGCAAGCCGGAATGCAACCTGCAAAGGTGAAAAAGCAAACCCCATGTTGCCATGGAAAGTTGTTCGGGTCAACAAAGAGTTTCAGAAAAACAACAATCCACTTTTACAAAACGTGCCATCAGAACTATTGAACTAGGACAAAAAACACCAGACCGAACCAACCAACGGTTTCTTGTCAAAGGAAGAATGTCCCGGACTACCCAAACAAACTGTGAACCGAGCGAGGATCATCAGCGCAAATCCTTTGCGAACCAAACATGGAATTGCCGTTTGAAACCAACATGACATCGTATCATGCCGCATCGTGTCACATCCTGTCTTACCGTCTGCATCAATATATTAGGGTAAATAGCATATCACATATATATATATGCTGGTAGTTGCTAGGATGCAGTTTTTGCAGCTGCAAGCCACTGCAAGCCTGGAATGATCGTACATCAGGGTCATCATCTCCACCTTCGTGGCGTAGCCTTTCAACTTCCTGGAAGAATTGGAAGTGTGCGCACAGGGCAAGAACACGATCATACACCGGCTAATAAAACAACTGTGCAAATGTCTTGCGACTCCGCATCTCCTTGCACAGCTCACAAAGTTAGCAAAGTCCACACGATCGTTCTTGTGGCCATCCAAACGATCCAACATCTTCAGAATAAGCACAGCCTTTCACAAGAATTGTATGCTGCAATTCATGCGCAAGTCAATGTTGAAGTGGCTACCTTGGGCTTGGTATTGCCAAAGAAGTCCAATACACTCATGACTCATAAATGATTCCCATCTGCCTCCTGCGGGTTCAGGTGCAAAGAGCTCCAAAATGCCTTGATAAGCAAATAAATAGGTTCGCATGAGGAGCAAAGTGATGTAGGAAGTGTCGCCTTCTGGTCCAAAAAGGTGCGGGTGTGAAGGAAGAAATGCATGCCGCATGGTCAGCCAAAGCAGCAAATTGGATTCAATTCCTTTGGGTTCTGGTTAAATGGTGGCGGGGACAGAAATGTCAAACAAAAGTCAAAACCAACTCCATCTGTCATTGCAACATCAGCTCAGCTTTCAGGCCCACATATGTCCATTTGGTCTTGCACTTACTTGGATACTGCGATCTGTAGGAACCTTTAATCAACGTACATAGAACGGGCTCTACCTGCGAAGAATAGCGCAATGCGCAGACCTTTCAGAAGGACTGGTCATGCGAACAAGCACCGCGGTCAAATATAAGCATTACAAGCAAGGACACTATTCTGCTGGAATTCTGGAAGGGCCAGTGCAAAAACTTGGAATATCAGAGCAAAAAGAAATTGGTTGGCAAACACTTCAAGGGCGAAGCAATGTGACAAACCAGATGACATACGACTCTCCCTCTCTCCTTCTCTCTCTATAACCCTGCGTGTATATATTTATATATACACGCATGCATGATACTCTTGATTAATCTTGATTGTGCATGCGCATCTCCTCTTGGGGGGCAAGATTCTACCTTTCCCAGACTCCAGGAGTTATCCAAGTAAATGCTCGAAAGTTTCACGATACAGCCGTGATGTATCCAACTCAAGGGTGTTGCAGAAATGCTGTAAACGTCAAGTGTATCAAAGCGAAATGGCGATTGAAAGCAGCGTGCCAGCAGATTTGATTAGAGCGTGAAGGCCTGATTGCCACCAGACACACCAAGCACTTTGTGCATATATATATATAAATATGATACATTATTATACGTATATATTCTATGAAACTCAACCACCGGTGGACTGTGTCAAAACCTCGAACACTTGCATCACTCACACGCCATTTTGCGGCCGAATGTGAATGCAGGCAAACCTTGCAAACGTCTGAAGGATCCAGCCAGCACGCAGTACTGACCGGCTAGGCGATGGATAAGATAAACATGGCACGAGAGCTCGTTTCCATCAGTCCGCTGCTCTAGTGGGTTACTGCATGTCTGTCGACCCCAAACTTGGAGGAAACAGCCTGGCAAAATTGAACATCGAAGATTGAAAGAGATGCAGTATGGGCCTTAAAGAACGGAGACCCCCAACCACTGGGCTTTTTGCTTTTGTCGTTTAAAACACGCGTCGTGTGCAATGGCTACCCTCGGCTATGCGTAAGGCAGACGTGATTGTCTAATTGGAAAAATCCTCAGCGCATGCAAAGCGCAAACAGCAAGGTAAAAACCTCGCGCGCGTCAGGTAGCGGAGCCACCTGTTGCAACCGCGGCCACGGCGCCTTCAAATTGTATGTAGCTTTACGACTGCGATGGAAATAGTCCCACAGTGCCTTGCCAGCACAAGGACCGTTTGGTAGAACGAATTTGGCCACACACGTAGGTACTAGCCGAGAGGTACCCGAGTGGGCGAAGCCTCCTCCGGCCGCAATCAAGAATCAAGGTTGGAAACGTGCCAGTGACAATTGAGCCACTTAAAAATCTGTACGAAAGTTCTCAACTGAGTATTAAGGACGGCTAGCAGTTTTCTTCTTAAGTGAGGGAAAGTAGACCGGAGCCATAGTGCGAGTATCAAGAGCAAATGAAATGTAAAGTTCCAACAGACTAGAGCTTTCCTCAGCACCACCACCGGGGTTCAAAGAAACTCGCTGAAACAATCGGAAAAATCGTTCAGAGAAAGTTGCGCCAAATGGTGCGTCAACGTCGGCACACCACTGTACCCTGGCGAGAGGACAAACGCCTCCTTGCTGCATGTACATCCCCTCAATATCAGGAACGGAGCCTGCAGATTGTTGTCCATCGTCCTTTTGTGACATGGCCCCACAGGAAGCAGCGGTCCAATACTGGTGGAATTCAAACAACAACGCAGCATTGCGTTCCGCATCGTGAAATAAGCTGGTCAGTTTATCAAGCAAATCTCTGCGTGTACCAGTCAGTACCCTCTTTGCAGTCTTGTCAACGGTGTCATTCCATCGTCCACACCACGAATCAAACTCTGATGGTGCAAGCCACCATTGAGTGTGGGAAGAGACCTTAGTAATCGTCACCGCCCCCACAGGACGACGAAGAATATGAGTCCAAAGCTCCCAAAGATCCCAATGCTTACAGGCCTGAGAAGTCAGACCTAATTGCCGATCCATCAACATTTGCTGGAGCAACGAAACCACAGCTGAGCAATCAGTGAAAAACCTGGGAGCCCAAACACGCTGCAATGCCAACAAAATTGCCCACACCTCGCCCCGATAGGGGCTATGATCAGCTCCCGGCATCCCGCCCTTCAAAGGCGCCAGACGAAAGGAAAGAGTGTCAGCCAAACCAACTTCATGTGTCTTGATGGCCGGATCAAAAAGAGTGCTCCCACAATGCACAGTCAAACTAGTATTCATCTGTGAAGCTGCGACAAATGAGGCTCCAACTTCACCTAAGTCAATGCCGGCTGGAATAGTCAGCAACTCGGCCTGAATCTTCCAAGGACTTCGAACCCATCGCTGAGTGGTATGACAACCAGAGTATGCCTCAAGTCTCAAGGAACAAACTGGAGCCGGCTTCATGCTTTGAATCCATGATCTTGACCTTGGTGCAACGATACGGCGCTTTGGTGTCCCAAGCAACCATGATCACATCGACATGCTGCGACAACAGGTCATCCAGGGTTCTCAAGGCAGCGTCGCCCCCTTTGTCATCACCACACGTCCAAACATGTGCCTGGCACATTTCCGGAAAAAGGACTGGAATCACATTCACGCAGCATTCACTCTGACGAATACTGACCGCGCAGATCAGTTTATGATTTGGATGTCGGGCTGCCAAACGAACATGACTGTTGTCAGCAGTGCGTATGCCAACGTCACGGTCCCCACTTCTTGAAATCGGCAACACCTGAACAGGGCACTGCGTCACAAAACATCACAAAGGAAGGAATCAGACGGCGGAAATGTATTCTTCGCATGAATCAAGACTGACTCACATGGGACACTCGAAACGGCTGCGATGAATGCGGCCAACGATGTCACTTTCCAGGTCACGTCAACCTCAATGTTCCACACTTTCTCAGGTGAGCTGCGGTGTAGGCTTGAACGTAATGGTCGCCACTGGTACAGCCTCGATCACCTGTTCCCAAGTCACTTCAGCTCCATTGTGCTCGAAGCTCACAAAGTCACTGTGGCAGGATAATGGCAAAGCAGTTTGCGCGTAGGTGCCCACCTGGTCACTCTTTGCCCTGTGGACGCAGCATACCCAGGCCTTGCTGCAGTGTTTCAAGACCACTATGCCTCCTTCACAATCAGAAATGGGAACTTCAGGTTCGTCCAAATGGAGTATGGACATAAGAAACCGCCATTGACCTCAAGACCAACGATCTTCTGCGCATCATCAACTTCATATAGTGAGATTTCCAATGTCTGCTCCGTGCGCAAACGCTTTGGGGATGGCGATGGGACCTCGTCCCCACCTGTGACAGGCACCAACCACTGGCATTCATGGTCTCTCTCAACTCGAAAAGATGAGAGTTTCATTGCATGCCCCACGGCAATATCATAGAGCTGGCTCAACGAAGGAACAAAGCCAAAAGGCCAAGCACCATCCAATAGGCATACTGTCTGAGCAACGCACAACATGGAATGTCCAACTGCAATGGCATTACCAGTAAGCCGGAATGCATCAGCTGCCTCAGCATTTTCTGTGTTCATTCCAGCTGGCTTTTTTCAGTGAGATTCCCTACAGCCGTGCACGCTGCTTCTCCCCTTACCAGCAGCTCACATGCTCATGACGATGAGCTGGGCTGTCACCGCTTGGCCGCCGGTGGGGGTTTGGGAGGCCTGCGCGCTACTTCGTTCATCTCCTCTGACAGGTCACTGCTTCGAGACACTTGTTGCGTACCTGCCTCAGCATTTTCTGTGTTCATTCCAGCTCGCTTTTTTCAGTGAGATTTCCTGCAGCCGTGCACGCTGCTTCTCCCCTTACCAGCAGCTCAAATGCTCATGACGATGGCCGCCGGTGGGGGGTTTGGGAGGCCGCATCACACACAGACACCCACGCACTGCCTCAACTTACACGAACACACACATACACAGACTCATATACACACACGCACAGAGACCCTCACACTACCTCAACTCACTCGACTTAAACACTTCACACTTAACACTTAACAGATAACTCACACTCTGACTTCCTACGTGATGAAAAATGCTTTCGGGCCACTCGTCGTCTAGTTTTACTTGACAAGAGCAATGGCAGCAAGGGTCTCATGTATACTGCATGGAGTGCTAATATTGCACGGCGCCTTGTGCCTCAAATGCCTGTGGTCATTTTGTGTTTCACGCTCTGTCCGTGAGAGGTCACTTCTTCACCACAGAGTCTGCTAAGCGAACTCATTTGTCCCGTTCACCACTTCGTGCACAGTCACAGCAGGCAAAAGTACCTTGCTGGAGCATCATTCCGTGTTCCCTCAGTCCTACAGTTATCCTATTTTTCTGCTTGTGGGTGTACTAACATAGGGAGGCCTCCCGAAGACCACCTGACAGAAGGGATGCTGTCCAAAGTTGAGTTGTTGCCAACTGTTCAGATGAGGAAGAGTTCAATGTCTCCCACTGATGCCTTTCAATCAAGGGTGCGCACCTTCAACCAACCTATGGTGGGTGTCATGGCCGCCTACTCTCGACAGCATGAGATCCCCATCGAATTGCTGCGTGAGCGTGGTCTAAAGATCAATTTGGTGCAGGACTTGTCAGTTGCGCGTTACTTCTCACCTTGGGAATTGTTGGCAGCGTTGGGCCACAGTGACAAGTCGGTCCTATCTCTTGAATTGAGCCACGCCAGAAGTGTCTCGAAGCAGTGACCTGTCAGAGGAGATGAACGAAGTAGCGCGCAGGCCTCCCAAACCCCCACCGGCGGCCTGGCATGATGGCTGGGCAAAGAGGCAGACCTACGAGCTAGTGGGCTGCAAAGTAGTAAATAGCGCATGCATAGCCATAAGAAGGCTCTGTTTGCGTTGTAAAGGTTCATGTGGGATATGAATATTGCAAAAGCTTGTGGGGTGCGTGAAACTTCTTGCAAGTATATGCGTCACTGCTGTTGAGTTGATATTTTGGTAGTTGGCCCAAGTTGTATGGAGACTTCTGCAATGTCACTGTGAGCACCGAAAGGTCTGTTGGCGCAGGCGCTCTGAGGGTGACATGTGCTTCGCTCTAGATGTAGTTAAGAACCACTATGCTGCTCATTTTCTAATCGCCTCTCCTACAGAAACATGCAACAAAGTAGCACGAGGTGACACACAGCAGGCACTGCGCATGTTTTAGTGTGCTCTGGCCGTTCAGCTCGCGACTAGCCCTTGTATATGGAAGAGACTCCCCGACACTATGTCTAGTACTTGTTGTGCTTCCGCAAAACGACGTCCACACAGGAAGAATTCATGGTATGAGACATGTAGTTGGTTACCATGTGAACATCTAGGTGACACCCTGCGTTGGGGAGACTCTCACTGCGTTGTCCGCTCCGGAGACACGGCGGCGACCATCTGGGCCAACTGGGCGGCGTCGAGGGCGCCATCTGGTGACACGTCCGCCAGCGGGATGCGGAGCGGTGGGTCCACTTGAACAAACCTGCCAGTCTGGTCGTGGTAGCCGCTGAGTTCGATGCAATCGGGCGGTGTGGTATTTGCGGCGCGGGCCGCTTCCCATGACCGCCCAAGACGCTGGCATGGTCGACAGATAAGGTGATCGGCGTCGCACAGGGTGCAAACGGCGTTGAACGGCCGCAGCGAAGAAGCCTCGCACCAGGAATGCGTCCACTGCCCGCAAAGTTCGCATGGTTGGGCTCCGAGGTCTCGTCCAGGTAAGTTTTCAGCCGCAGTGACCAGCGCAAACGCCGCCCTCTTGGGAAAAGATCGCTGGCGCTCCTCGCGTGGTACTCCGCGATGGTCCTCGCGCGGATGTAGGCACAACCAAACCTTCGCGTATACTCCGCGTACTCAAGTTGTGCTACAAAGTCGCCAGTTCTCATCTTCCCACTCCCCAACTACTCCGCGTACTAACGTTGTACTGCCAAGTCGCCAGTTCTCATCTTCCAGCTCCCCGGCTACTCCATGTACTCAAGTTGTACTAGAAACTCGCCAGTTCTCAGCTTCCAGCTCCCCAGCTACTCCACGTACTAAAGTTGTACTAGAAAGTCGCCAGTTCTCAGCTTCCAGCTCCACAGATTGCACAATTGTACTACAAAGTCGCCAGTTCTCAGCTTCCAGCTCCCCAGCAACTCCGCGTACTACAGTTCTAC